AAGCCATTTACACGTGAATTTAGAGCTCACAGTCGTTACTTCCATTATGTGATATTCATTAACCCAATTGTCAAACTATATACATCTAGAGAGGTTAACTCGCGATCCCTCTTGTTTCTCTTATAAACTCATAATCTCATTAAAATCCCCTAGCATCAATAAAGGATAAGATGTGTTCGCAACAATTTGCTTAATCTTTTGTCATGTCACCCTTCTCTCTACTTCTCTAGGGCTAACATAAACTACCATTGATAATATGCATGATAATTTGACCCATCCCTAGTGGGCACCCATAAAAATTACCCACAATGGGTAGGATAAAAACCCGCAAAATGGGTGCGGCATAGAAGCGGGCAATTATTCACAAAAGTTAGCGGGTATGGGCGCAGGTACGGGTACCTGAGTATCAATCCCGCCCCATACCTGCATATATTTATATAATTTTATTTTTATTATTATGTATACATGTTAATTTATCAATTTTATTAAATGTATCACTATTAAATTTGACGCATTTTAATATAAATATTTGTTTATGTTTTAACTCAACAATGTTATCCTTAAATCTTTTTAATGTTGTTAAAAATTTAAAATGATATGATATATTATTTTTTATTAGAAATACGAGTAATCAAGTATGGATATGAGTACTTAGGTACCTATAAGATACGAGTATGGGTACAAACATTGATGCCCTCTCGGGTACGTGGATTTTTTAAACTGCGAGTATGGAGACAAGTTCTATAGTATCTTGCCAAAACTCTGCCCATTGTCATCCCTAGTTAACAATGAGTTGTGATCCTTACCATCACTAACGTGAACATGGAGAAAAATATTAATTTTCTTCGACCTGGGTGATATGTAAATTATCCTTGTTCCACATCAACTAGTTACTTCCTGCAAACCGATTAACCTTTATCCTCGTATTATTGCGAAAGCCCAGCCTCTTGATAATATTAATGACCTTAACACCGCTACATCTTATTTCTTGAAGAGTTATCATATCTACTTTATAATAATTACAATAATTCTTTTGTGTTGCATATAAGTTTCTTCCTTAAGCACCCCTACAATTCAACGAAAAAATAATATTTAAATTAAAATTAAAAAAACCAAATAAATGTATTTTACTCATATTATAAAATTTTCATATCATCCATATTTGCCACACCAAACTGATCTTTTTATCATCATCATTCCCTTCATTGGTAGAAAGCTCTATGTGTTGACCCTTATTTCGCAGGCCAACTTTGTCACCTAAAACAACTAACGAACTCAATATAAGGATGGGAAGGGGATAAAGTTCTTATGGGAAAGTGTAAGGGTGGAAAAACGGGTCGTTTGAGCTGTAACACCCCAGACTGCTTTCGAGATTATCGACTAACCCCACAAACCAACACATGTCTTTTCAGCATGCTTTTTCCTCACTCAGCTTTCCAGGAAACTTCCCATAAGGTCACCTATCCATAAATTTCTCCAAGTCAAGCACACTTAACTACGGAGTTCTCATGAAACGGGCTACCGAAAAGAAGATGCATCTTGTTGGTATATGTAGTATCAATTAATCCATTGTACTGGGAAAGGTCTAGCTCTGATACCATTTGTAACACCCTAGAATACTTTCAGGATTACTGACTGACCTCACAAACCAACACGAGTCTTTTCAGCATGTTTTTGTCCTCACTCACAAGCTTTCCGGGAAACTTCCCAAAAGGTCACCCATCCCAGAATTGCTGCAAGTCAAACACGCTTAACTATGAAGTTCCTATGGAACGGGCTACCGAAAAGAAGATGCACCTTGTTGGTATAAGTAGTACCAATTAATCCTTATAAGCCTTCCTTCAACCATGCAGTCCCATACCTGCATTGCTTTAGGATCCCTCTCATTCCGATGTGAATTCAGTTTTTCCCTAGAAGCTGCTAGGAGTGTCTCATTGTCATGCTTCATGCACCGAAAACCACTCCATCGCTCTTGGGTGTTTACATGTAACCACTCTCCTCCCTCTTCTGCCTCGGGTGTTACATCCTCACTCACACACTTTATGGAAACTTTCCAGAAGGTCACCCATCCCTAAATTGCTCAAAGTCAAGCACACTTAATTAAGAAGTTCTTAAGGAACGGGATATCAAAAAGAAGATGCATCTTATTTTTGGTAGCTTGTTCCATAGGAACTTCATAGTTAAGCGTGCTTGACTTGCACCAATTATGGGATGGGTGACCTTTTGGGAAGTTCCCCAGAAACCTTGTGAATGAGGACAAAAACATGCTGAAAAGACTCGTGTTGGTTTGTGGGGTCAGTCGGTAATCCTGAAAGCATTCTGGGGCGTTACATGTGCCGCCTTACTTTAAACACGCCAAAAGGGGCGCGGGGCGGGTAAGTCCGCCAAGTGAAAATGGGCTTAAAAATCTAGTTCGCCTCGCCAAGGTGACAAGTTGGCGGACGGCGGACTTGCACGCATATTTATATTTATTCATTTATTTATTTATAATAGATTAATAAGCTTATTTATATATTTCAATTAGATTTTTCACTTATATTTTATAACAATTTTTTATAAAGCATTTTTTAAACAAATTTCACTTAAAAAAATATTGCATATATTCACAAATAAATATATAAAATAGAATCATTAACAAATGTTCCAAGATATAATTCAAGTACTAATCTTCAGCTAACCCAAAACAATGATTTTAGTGCTTGATAACTACGTTCGCCCAATTTTTGGCCAGCTTAAGGCGGGGCTGGTTTAAAACAGGACAGGTTTAAAGCGGGAGGGGTTAGGCGGATACAAAATTCCAATCCAACCCATCTTTTTTTGGCGGATGTGCGGGCTGACCTATCAGACCACGAACCATTTTGCCACTCCTAAAAAAGTGCATATATAAAAAGTGTGGTGCTTGCTATTCTCTAAAATATCATAAACAAAATAATACATTTAATAAATAAAAATTAATTTAATAAAATTTTCTCATTTCTTCATAGTATCATCAACAAGTTATCTTCTTCTTTATTTCCATCTTCTGAAAGCTTAGATTTTTAATTCAAAACAATCATGGTAATTGACATAAGATGTTGTATGTTGGCTAGGTTCTAGACATATTTTATTTTAACATTATAAAAATCTCTAACATTACTTTTTCAAATTAGGTTAATTACAACCTTTTCTGTATCAAAACTATGCACTAAACCAACACTTTTAATATGTTCATGTTAGTTTTTCTTTCGTGGTCTCCACTAAAACTCTTCTCTTTTTAAAAAAATTCTCTTTCTTCTAAATTTATTGATCGTGATTCTAATTTTAAACTCCATTATTTTTTTCACAAACTCTTCTATTTCATTCAAAATCCCATATTCACTTTTCTAAAGTGCATTCCTTATAAATTTATTTCAATTTGATCAATATGAAATGACAAATTTTTATTTTAAAAAATGGTTGAAAATCCATTTATTGAGATAAAGATTTTTAATTTTTAATTTTGAAATCTTTGTTTTACTGTCTCATTAATATAAGATGTCTCATGAATATAAGATGTTAAAGATGGTTCATTGCTAGGCAGGTAATGAAATTGGGTAGGATGCATTTGGTTTGTAGCAGAGCCAATCTAAGCCTAAAGTGTTTTAACTTTAAGCAAGGCCTTTAGGTTTTAAAATTTTAAGATGTAAAAAGGTCTAAATAATTTTTAATTTGATCATAAATATTTTAAATAATATATTTTTTTTACATAAAATATTATTATTGAGTTGGTTGAAGAGAGACTCAATATTTTTTAAATATTTGATTCAACTCTTATCAAATATATAATTTAATTTAATTTATTTATTGTGAATGTTTTATTTTAAAAATTTCTTTAAATTTCTAAGTGGATCGTTGAACCTATCCTGATTTATAGGATGCGAATAGTGAATATACAACCAATTTCAGGTTATTATGATTAACTTTTAAATGTCATTGTTGAATAGAACTAATTAAAAAAAGATAAAATTTCTTCATTCCTCGGTTGTTGTGAGTAATTTTTGTAAGGAACTAACACCATAACATTGCATCCTTGTCAATGTGTGTTGAATTGGATAATCTAAAAAAATGTAAAAACCATGTTTGAAACATAACGTGTTAGTATATTACGGGAAATGTTACCTTAAGGAATCTTTAGATCGGAAAGATAGGATAAGTTAAGAAAATGAAGAATAAGACGTACATCAAATAGAATAAGAAAGAAAAAAATTCTAAAGCTTTTTTTTAATGATTAAATATACTATTTTATACTATATTTTCAAATTTTAATTAAATAAGTTGTCAATGTGAATGACAGCTATATATTAAACAAACATGTCACTTCTACAAAATTGATGATGTGCAAGAAGATTCATAAAATTATAAAAATTATAAATTTATACTATCAATTAATCACTTACCATATCAACTTCTAAATTTTAAATTAACAATATAATATAGTAAATTAATAAATTTATATCAAATTGCATATTAATTAAACTCAAATAATAATAAAAAAATCATTAAAATAAAAATTAAAGGTAATGTCTTATCAATATAAATTAGTTTTACACTGTTATTCAATAAAATTATAATATTTTACACTAATTTTATACCATTACCTAATAGAATTATAACATTCTACTCTATCATATCAATATTTTAAAATTAAAGTTTAATTTTTTTGAGATAAAACGACATGTTTTCGAAGTTTTATAGTAAGTCCGAAAAAATGTTTTAAAATGGTAGTTTGTAATTAAAGAGGGAGAGTATATACTAAAACGACACACGTTGACGCAGTTTCGCACTACAGTTCAAACCCCCTCGATTCTAAGTCGTCACGCCAGATCTGCCGATTTTTGCACCGTCAGCAGCCACCGTGCACGGCGGAAGACCATTGCTTCCTGTTCGGGACCCTTCGCCATCTTCTCACTCTCGAACCGTCAAGCACAACACAGAAACGAAACATCTCAACACTTTGAAGCAAAAAAACCCTAAATTTCACAATGCAAGAGTTAGATCAATGGAAGGAACATATTTCTCACCTGTTGAATGTCGCAAACGATTACATTCGTGAAATTCCCACTGATCAACTCTACGCCGCTGCTGCTATCGCGGTTTTCACAACCCTAATTCTTCTCCTGCGTGAGTGAGTTCGTCTGGTTGCTGAATTCTTACCCTTTTGATTGATTCTGTGTTTTTCACTATGTTTTTTTGTTTTGTTTTTTGTAGTTCGGTTTTTTAAGCGCAGCAAGCCTAACACCATTGTGTTAACGGGACTTAGTGGGAGTGGGAAAACCGTTCTCTTCTATCAGGCAAGCTGATAATAATGTTTAGTTTAATTTTGTGTTTGGTGAATTGACGAGTTATTGTATCTGCTTTTGTGTTTCTGTGTCCATTTTGGTTTAGTGGTTTAAGTGCCGTTGAGTTTATGTTCATAATATGCTTAAATTTTGTGTTTATTTATGAAATGAGCATTGCATGCATGAAATGAAGTGGGATTTAGGTGCACAGAATGAATTGTAATGTAGGATTCTGATTGTTTGTGGTATTTAGCAATTATAGTCTTGAGCTAAGACTGAAGATTGGGTCTATAATCTGAAACAAGAAATAAATTGATTTTTGTAGGTCTAATCTGTGGTGAACTTTTCGGTCATTGCTGACAAGTTTTTGAATTGTATAACCTAGTTTAGTTTGTATTATTACGCAAGAAAATACAATTGTAATTAATCAAGACTAAATATTGCTTGTATAGTTGTATGTAAGGGAAAAACAGTATTGTCAGTCACATCACATATAGCGGGAAAAGCGGTTAGTTCAATACCGTTATGCTACAGGGCTACATCGTTGGTATAGCCACTATTTGACAGCATATAACATAACAATTGCGATTTGTTCAAATTCCACTATACTATAGTGTCGATGTAGCTGCTATTTAACAACACCGAGAAAAAAGAATCACGGTTAGGCGGTTGATAATAAACCGAAAGCATGTTATTAGTATAAGCATATTACATGATGGGATATTATCTAATTCCTTAGGTAATACAACTACTGATTTTCATTCTATTCATATTTTCTGTGCTGACATGATGTTCTTGGCACACTTTCTTTTGGATGTGTCAGCTTAGGGATGGCTCTACACATCAAGGTACTGTTACGTCAATGGAGCCGAATGAAGACACTTTTATTCTTCATGGTGAAGCAACGAAGGTAGTGTAAGCCTCCTGCACTCATGCTGACATGAATATAGTAGTTTAGTCCTGCAGAGATCCTTACTCTCACCTCGATTAAATGAGAATATTCATCTTTTGTTGTTAATTGGAGTAACACTTTTGCTTGTCAAATTAGTTGAAATTATATATAATATTCATGTGTTTCATTAATAATGATTTGGAATCAGACCATATAATAGACCAAATACTGTCTTGTGTGTTTTATGTTGTGACAGAAGGGAAAGATAAAACCGGTTCATATTGTTGATGTTCCCGGACATTCTCGTCTTCGACCCAAATTGGATGAGTACTTGCCTCAAGCAGCTGGCACAGTCTTTGTTGTTGATGCTTTGGATTTCTTACCAAATTGTCGTGCTGCCTCAGAGTATTTCCTTTCTTCATTAAGTTGTAGTCATCATCTTTCTATAAAGTAACACTTTTTCAGTATTAGCTGTAAACCCACTGCGAGGAATGTTAAAAACTCTTAAAGATGATACAGCATTATAATTTTAATCAGCTATCATTTCTCACTTTTCCCGAGAAAGAAAGGATATTAGTAATTACAAAGATACTGACATTTTTGTTTTATGTATTAAGGTACCTATATGATCTGTTGACTAAGGGAAGTGTTGTGAGGAAGAAGATTCCACTGCTTATTCTCTGCAACAAAACCGACAAAGTCACTGCTCACACCAAAGAATTTATCTGCAGACAACTCGAGAAAGAAATGTATGGCTTCAAGTCCTTAAATTTATTTACCTTTACTCATTTTATCATTCAGCAATTACTTCATCCTTGTCCCTATTTGTACGCACATCCAAATGCTGTTGATTGGTTTATATTGAAGAAATGTATTATATTTTCTTTTAACTAATCAAATTCTTCCACCTTCTCTCACGGCCATGTGTCCGTAGACTCAGTCAAACAACTGGTTTGTTTTTATCTTCAAAACAGACATATCATTCAATGTATGGTAATCTGATTCTTTTCGTGATTTCACCTGTCGGCTACTCAGCTAGTTGTTTCTTTTTCAGTGACAAATTACGGGCATCAAGAAGTGCAGTTTCAGATGCCGACTTGACAAATGAGTTTACTCTGGGTGTTCCTGGTGAGCCATTTTCGTTTAAACAATGCTTGAACACAGTTACAACTGCAGATGCTTCTGGCTTAACTGGGGAGATATCTCAGCTAGAAGAGTTTATCAGACAACATGTGAAGCCATAGCTGGATATTATGTTTAAACTTAGATTGCTGTTAAATTAACTCTATTCTGAATTGTTCCTTTTGGTTCTTACCTCTCAAAACTCAACACAGTCTGGACTAAAAGAAAAAGGGAGGGGAGGGACAGGGTTGGAATCGCTATGTTGGGATAAATGATTATTTGGAAATCATGAAATGTTGATTAGACTATAATGATTCAACTTCATGTCCCAGTTCTTGCATTTGCTTTAATGCGCTCTTCACGGTAATTAAACGAGAATCTATCTTTTGAAAACAGGGGACATGATTTCATTTACTTACATCTACCTTTTGTTCTCAGCTTTATTTTAAGAATGTTTTGGTGGCTGTTTTCCATTAGTTTCATTATCAAGATAAATATACTAGTGTTTTAACAGCATGATGCAGCTTTGAATATTATCTCCCCTAAACTTGCAATCATTTTGACCCTTCTCATTCAAGTACCCTGAGTGATGAATGATTTTTTTGTCTAATACTCCCTCTGTCCGTTCCTACAATGAGTAATACAACAATGAGTGATACTTTTAACCATGAAAAAAGAGAGAAGCATGTTTTATTGAAGTATTCACATTACTGAATTATCAATTGTTGGAAACTTCTTTAAGACTTGTGAGAAACGTTTTGGATTTGAAATTATTTCCTATTCGGGTTTTTTTTAATCAAATTCTCAAAAAATGCATTGATAGAAAGTGAATATATAGAGCTTTCAGATATGTCATGACTCCGCTTATTTCAAGGTTGAGAGCAAAATTATGTAAAACATAACTGTACCAGGGATCTAAGATATGACATAATTTCATGTCATTTTCAATATTTTCATGTATTTAATTAAGATGAAAAAGTGAATTATAGTATTTCTTTTCATGACTTTTTTAAAATAAATAAGAAGTATAATTATCAATTTTTCTTTGAATGTAAAAATTGTGTTCTAAACACCTTTAAAATATATCAAAAATAAGGTTTCTCTCATCATATAGCTTGGATAATTATAATCAGGACTTCTTTTTCATGACCCGAAACAAATGCACATTGCAGAATTGCTCTTGTGGAGTGTACAATGCAGCATTACTCTATTACTTTCAAAAGGAAAGAATTAGCAACTCCTTCTTTAACACTCTTTTTACTACACTTTTTTAGTTGTTAAATTTCTAATGAGTCATACTAAATCATTAGAATTCCACTTAAACTTTTGTCAAAAAAAGTGTGTTCTTAACATAATTTAGTTTTTATAATCTTGCATATAAACATTGCACGCCAAGGAACCCATGCATGTATAGCACTTGGGGATAACTACATTGATCTCTACTGGAATTTGTGCCAATTATACCAACATCAATTTTGTTTGTAAAACTATACCTACTTCATGTTCTTGCACTTTGATGCTATTTTTTCCCTTTTAATATTTTATCTTACTTGCAACAACTCCAACCATTACTTAATATGTACTTTTAATTTACTTAAGATGATTTAATCAATGTATGATATGATGGAAAATTTAACTTTGATAGAAGACATCACAACAAACACCAACTTACAAAACAGATCAGAGAACTTTTATGAGTTTAACCTTACATAATAAATACAAATACACATCCCCAAAACTACCCCTGCATAAAAATGACAGTCTTCTGAACATTTTTTTGAGGGCCTAAGAGGATCTAAATTTAATCTTCACAATTTAAAATGCTTTGCACAGGGTGAAAGTAGCTCTACTTCAAAGATTGATCAATGCTTGAAATGCTGTTTTCATCGTACAAATTGACAGCAACCAGGACACAATTTTGACAGCCACAAGTGCTTCAACTTCACTATTAAGGCAAAGATGGCATAGCATGGAATGTGCATTATACCTACAGCCAAGTACCTAAAAGTCCACAAACATGGCAACAAACATGTATCAGCTGAAATAGGTCGCTTCAATCAACGATATAAATTTCATATCCAACAATCATTGATATGTTTGGATTTGTGATTTAAGATTGAGGGAAATGGAACAGAATGGAATGGTAACATTTGGTTTTTGAAAATATTACCAGTCTACTCCAATTTTCCAATCCAAACATACCCGAATCAGCAAAAATAAGATATACATGCAATGTTACACCACAAATTGTTCCCTGCTTGCAAGTTTATTTTAAGTTTCATATATTTGAAGACCTTGACCAAAATTTCATAACATAGTTTCAATGTACCACCAATCAAAAAAGCTTCAATGTACAATTGTTGTTTATTTTATTTTATTTTCATGGTGTATTTGAGTATTGGTGACCAACTGAGTTTAAGAACATACCATAAGGGTGCAAATGGGGATGACAGATCAAGGAAAGGATAAGGCCACCTGTAAGAAAAGGTTAGGAAGTTTATGAACAGAATTGTACCGATTCAAAAGCGATAGAAATAAGATGGGATAAACGTTTTTACCAAAGCGAAACAACGGCATGGATGATCCACTGAAAAATCACAAATGTAGCCGTCCACAAGATAAAATATGCAAATCGAAACACTGGAAAGCTCTGCAAGTGTTAAAAAGAAATAGTTGTAAATTTGAAGTACATAATTTAGGAGAAATATAAAGAAAAAGATCAAAAATAAACTCACCATGGAGTTCAATGATGTTTCACCAAGGAGGAGCACAGCATTAACTGAGTGCATACTAACAGTGAACTGCAAATTGAAAAGTGAAAACATTTTCACAGACTCTGTAACCAATAATGATTTGATGTCGATTATATGCTAGTATCATCAATAATCAATAATCAAAGGAAATCTCAAAACTGTTTTAACCTTTTAACAAAAATGAAACTACTAAGCAAAGGCCAAACAGTTTTCTATGTGGCTGCATTTATTAGGGATTAAGTTTTTATTTCCTCATCTTTTTCTGTTGCTTCTTTTTTTCTTTCTTATCTTATGTAGCAAAAGAAAATGCCAAACAATCCCTAAAAACCTTATCAGTATATTAGTAAAACTCCTAACCAAAAGAAGGAACTACAGGCCAGTAAAAAAACCAATTAGACTTACTATATCGAGACGGAAGTCTTTGGGTGTCATAAAAGGATAAAGAACGAGCCAGAATACACTGTCAGTGAGCACCGAAGCACCTGCACAAGTCTACATATTTAAAAGAAAATTAAAACAAATTGATAGATTGCCCCCAGAGTTTATCCAGTTAATAATACAATAAAATCGGAATACAGTTAAAGAGAGACTGCACCGCAGCCTTTTGCAAATTTCTGATCGTAGCACAATTATTCCCCAGCAATCCCATTTTTAAAAATAGTGAAGTTTTGAACATTTTACTTTGTATTCAAATAATTAACCAGGACTTTTCAATCTAGAGGGTTGTTACCAAATAACTTTCTTGGTAAGGATAGCATAACTACTACTCCAATCTAAGTATAGAGCCGAATCCTTTTTCAGCCAAGTGTTGTTTTGCAGTTAATGGAAAAAACAGTTTGTTGGAATTCCCCTACACTACAATGTTGCTATAGTCGCCATTTGACAACAGTTTGTACCAAAGCTCATATTGCAGAACAATAACTACTGTTAAAATTTTCACTGTTCTATAGTGTCATTATAGCCTTAATTTGACAATATTAATCAGCCATGGTTTGATCAAACAATATTACAGCAGAAACTAACTCGCCTATGTTGGACACAGATTAGTTAAATTACCTGAAATATTATTTGAATAATATAACCCCATACACCAGCAGTATTCTGATTGATAGTTTCCCGAGAAGCATAGGAACTCTTAGATAGAATAGGTACATCTGCAATTCCATCAAGTGTAGGAGCAACATAAGAGCCTCGTTCTGCATCTAATGTATTTCCCTCAAATTTTGTGTGGTTAAAGTAAATACAATAGAAGGAGAAACAAGATGCAACCTGAAATTGAAATTAAGAGCGCAAGTCACTTCGAGAAGATTGAAATGAAAACAGAAAAACAAAGTTGATGGACATTTTCAGCCGATTTTTTTATGGAGCAACGATATGAATGAAGCTATAATAGCAGAATTTCTATAATCTGACCATACCAAATTCAACCCCTCTCCCAATAAAAAAAAGTGAAAAAAAATGCAGGATTACTGCAATACAAGAAACTTAGAGAAGAGAAGTAGTACCGCAAAGTAAACAGTGACCAATGTAAATGTCCACCTATTCAGCCGCCAAAAAAAGATAGAGAATCAGTCAGTATAAAAGGAATGCTCAAGATAGCATTGTTTCATCAAAACAAGGTTTCTTCACGAAAACCTCACAAACTATAGTTAACCATTAAAATTGTTTCTTGGCCGAAAAACACGGTAAGCGAATCTATAAATTTGTGTCATATTCTCAGTTACATATTCGTGATATTGACGTGAGCTATTTTTTCGTGACAAGTAGCATTTCCAGTAGTAAAAGAGTGGCAATTATCATGAAGAAAGCATGCATAGAAACAATATTCTCAAATTGCAACTATAGCCAGCTCTATAACAGTGTAGTATAGCAAATTTGAACAGATCGCTATTGTTTTGTGATACGCTATTCAGAATGAAGTTTTGTCAAATTGTAGCACTATAGTATTGTAGTGCGGTGAAATTTGAACAAACTACTATTTTTCAGCATGCCAAAATTCACATCATTGAATTCAAATCTACGAACCTTGGAAGTTTAGTTACTTCAACAAAACAAGTCTATAACTCGTGTAACCTAATTTTCTAATTTCATGTTTAAGCAGCTTCAACTTTCATGCAAGACAACAATCTACAACATATGTGTAATTCAACTTACTGAGTGTAGAAGTAAAATATGCCGCCACCATCAACAGCTACATTCGCAATGAGCAAACCCAAAAACACAAGGAAAGAAACTATTCTATAAGCAAGAAGCCATTTAGGATTAATCCCTTTAACACAAGTATTCCACGCTTCATCTTCGTATAACAATCCAACCGATTCTCGCCGCCCTTCTTCAACTACCCTCTCGTTTCTTGATTTATTGAATTCCTCATACTTCCATATCAAAAATGATCCCAATCCCATACTAAATAAAATAAATAGCGCAGAAAGGAAAAATCTCCAATTCAACCAATAGCTTAAAGTATTAGTATCTTGTGTCATGGTAGCTATATTCTCCAAGTACCACTTGAGAATCCTGTCAATTAATATTGAAAATCATCAGCTATAGCTTTAGTCCAAACAAATTATTATCATATGAACATTCAAATTCTCAATTAAAGCCCTGATTGGATAAACAACCTATTTTTCAGGTTTTAGCATAAGCACTTGTTGTATAATCACTTATGAATAAGCTATTTCTATAACCCAAGATAAAATAAAGTCAAATTATGAACATGTTTTCAAAAATTCTCTGAAAGTGATAAGTGATTTCAAACATGCCCTAATTCAGAAGCGAAAAAGCAAAGGACTAGAAGAAGTACTTACAATTGAGAAGTGAAATTAAGAAGGCGGAATCAATGCAAGAAAGAGATTTGTTTCTCGCTTGCATGAGAGAGAGAGAGACGTATATATATGCAGTATGAAGATGTGATGAATCACACACACCAACCAATAATAATAAGGACTAATAAATAAATATATAAAATTGGTGCTGTTATATAAAATAGTTAATTGGTTCAACGCAAATTTGATAATAAAAATTAGAGTTTGATCTCTGTAATTGTAAATAAAATTGAATTATTTCATATCAGAACTGATCTGAACTGAATTAGTCGGTTCAGTAAACCGGTTATTAGTTATGAAAAAAAAATTGCTATAATGTGTGGTTGTTTAGATGGATGAATGATACCAAATTAAAGGCTTTTCTTGTTTTTATGCTTGTTAACAATAATAACAACACAAGGGCTTTAAAGGGTATTTTTGGTATAAAAATATATTTAACCGTGTAAGTTATTTAAGATAGTTTTAATAAAGGACAATGTTAGTTGTCACAATCTTTGTATAAATTTGGCTTATTTACGTACCGTGACTTTCGTCCAAAAACATAGACAAAGTAGGAAACTGCAATTAAAATTAATAATGATAATGATTTATATATTATGAATATAGTGCTAGTATTTATTAATATGTGGGTAAAAATTATTGCTGTTTTAAGATCCAAAGGTGAAGAAAGAGGAGTCTGCAAGTTCACGTGGAGGGAACTATTCCACCGAGTATGTAGCCATACAATAACATAGGACAGGTCAATCACAATAAATTAGTAAGAAAATGGCATAGTACATTGTAATAATAGACTCCATCACTATTCCATAATTAAAACACAAAAATAATTGATGTAGGTGGTAAGAAATTCAGAATCGGTGAGGTTGATCTTTAATATGGTGAAATGGACTCCGACTTGTAAGATTAATATTTTAATGTATAAGTCACTTTGAGATTTATTGTCGGGAAAAGTGAAAATCAAGAAAATGTATTTTTTTTATGTGAAATAATTTTTATGAGTAAATTTGATTCCAAGTGAGACTTAGCTATTTGAGTATTTGGTCAACTCAAAATATAATTTATGTTAGTACAGAAATAAGTGACAGAAAAAAAAAGAGAGAGTAAATAAGATAAGAAAGAAAATAAATCAACATAAATAAAAGAAATTAAAGTGATTGTACCAAAATTAATAGAGATTTGTCATATCACTTGGTCTACTTCTCTCTCTAAAAACCGTCTAGAGAGTTTAACTAAAATAATGTCTTCGACTTTTGTGAATATGCCCACTAACCTTATTATAACAGATGAGAGATTTTAAACAAATTGATCCTCCAAACCAAACAAGAGCTTTGACAGATGAATTTATGAATCAAATAGATATTTTATCGACTAATCTCAAGAACCAAACAAATATTTTGCAAAGATAATCTCAAAAACCAAGCAGAGATTTTACCATGATAATCTTAAGAACCAAATAGAGATTTTACCAAGATAATCTCAAAAACCTTAAGATAAATCAAACAGGAGAATCACACTTTTGATGAAGAACACTTAAGCATGAGTATTTTTCACTCACAGGGCACTATGGCAACTTTAGCGAAAGAATATAAAAATGAGAAGAGAAGAGAAGAAAATAAGAAAAAAGATAGTAGAAATTTGAATTTTTGGGTGATTTGAAATGAGAAAAAAAACTATTTTATTTAAGAAGTTATTTGCTTAAAAAAGGAAGTGATCCACAAGTCAAATTAAATGTTGTATTGATATAAGTGTGAAAGTCTTCCCAAGAGCGCCTGAAGTTATTATGAGTTTTCATGGTGGTAGGTAGCCCGAGACTACTTTACTTTAATTTATTTTTTCACCCTCTAAATTATTTATTTTGCATCCAAATATTTTGTAGTTACAAATGAGTTTACGTTATGGACACAACATATCAACTTCAACTATCAACCCATTAAAATTAGATTTATACACTCACCCATAAATGCCCTTCAAGTTTCACAAAGTTACACTATGAAAATGACACTATAGTAATCTCATGATGTCATTTTTTGTTCTTCACTAAAGTATATCCGCTGCTACCACGTCGCTAATTTTTGTATTCAAAAATCATATCCCGTATTGACACTTGCCTTCATTCCAATACACTTACTCTACTACCTCCTTTTCCCTTCTTTCATATTTCCACTCATTCCATATTTTCACTCAAAGTCTTTTGTAGTTCTCTCTCATAAACTTGTTTCACTCCCACAAAAAGTAACAACAAACTCAACCTCCATTGTCTTCTCTTGTTCAAACTCCTTCTTCATCAATATCAGACACTTTGCTCAAAGTTTCTTCTTCGTCAACCTTCATTGTCTTCTCTGTATTTGCATCTAACATTGTTTCTCATTTTCTCCAACTTTGGTTCTTCACTCATTTTTATCACAAGGTTTGATATTGTCTGCATTGTCTTGATTGTTTCTTCAACATCCATTATCTACTCTAAATTTGTTTCGTGTTGCAAGTTTGCTTTCATTTCGTGGAGATTTTTTATTTCTCAAATCCATTTTGCAGTACACCTATACTGAACCCATCATGTATATCCGTGAAATCGATTGATGTTTTACCTAGATCCATGTTTTTGTTAGTTAGTTTTACCTAGATCCATATTTGTCTGAGTTTGATTTATTCTTTCCACTCTCTCACTTTTTATTGCAATTTGGAGAAAACAATTTAGGGTTTCCGAAAAGCTATGGAAATGATGAAGGTGCACGGTTGAAAGGATGGATTGCAGGTTAGAGATAGAAAAGATAGATGGTCGACTATTGGGTGAAAGGTTTTGTCACAGTTCCTCTCTTAGTACAAGCTCACAGGACTCAAAATGAGTGGGTTCATTTCTCCGTTCAGTGTATATTTCTTTTTCAAATCGATATTAGATTTTTTTTTTTTACTTTTGTTTACATTTGTTGCTTAAATTTTAACATTTCTGCTTTCAATGTTTTTATTTCTTCGTTTTTATTCATTTCTTCTTTCAATGTTTTCATTTGAATGCTTTTGCTTTTTCATTTTTGCTTTCAATATTTTCATTTATGTGTTTTTCGTTTATGTTTTCAATATTTTCATTTCAATGCTTACATTTTTTCATTTATGCATTTCTGTCGTTAGTTGTACACTACTAGTTTCGTAGGTTCTTACTTTATAATATTTGTTTCATGTTTTAACAAGAGAGTATTGATGAAGAGCACTCACGAGTGTAAGGCTGAGAAGGTAAGAGAGAAGACTTTGTTGTGTTTTACCACTCGTTTTAAGATTTACAATAGTTTGTGGATTATAATTTTTGACTATTTTATTGTTATTGTTTTAACTTTTGTTTTTTTCTTCAAGTGTGATTTTCTTTGTTCAATTGTGTGTTTGTGAAGTTTAGGACTTGGATTAACATGTTTGTCTACTTTCCATGTTGGACTGTAGTGAATGTATATAGTTTGAATATATGATTTTGTCAGGGATTTATACTCTTATTTGAATGGCTTGATATATCATTTTTATGTCTAATTTGACACTAGTGTACAAAAGTGCTTAATGAGTTCTTTATTTATTTTTTTATTGTGATGTGATTTAGTTAATATTATGTATGTGCATCGAAAGCCTGTAATTTGCGCCCTTTCATAGAAACAAACTTGTCAATAAAGATTAAGACTGTAACCATTCAATTTGGATATCTACATGGTTGGTGAACTCTTTTGTTGAAATGATATCACCTTGCTATTATAGGTTTTGCAATACGAGGTTTCCTATTGATATAGTTGTTAAAGTTGGCGACATGTCTTTCTATCTTCATGAGGTATATGTTAATATGTTCATTATAATATTTTATCACATCTAATCGACGCCTCCTTTTTTAAAGTTGGTTTCATGCATGATTTTATGAAAGATACGATATATGGCCAAATTGAAAATGAAAGGTGGTATCTCCTCCTCGCCCCCACTCAATCTGTTTTTTTCTTCCTTTTTTATAAAACGTGCTTACAAATATCTGCTAGCTGGCAAGTCCTCTTAATTGGTTAAATAAATTGGAATTTGTTCTCATCTTCAAACGTACAAGTGGGTGAAGGATCACGTGGATAATGGAATAGGGTCCAATTGATCCGCTTCTCTAGGTCAACTATGTCACAATGAGTCGAGACCAAGTTTGTTTTCAAAATGAGAGATATTTGGAGAGATATTTTGGGGAGAGGATTCAATGCATGAAGTTAATTTAATCTTCTAAATATTTTTTAGTGCAAAAACAAAATAACATCAAATTGAATGCATGGTAAATTTATCTATTCTTTCTAAACAATTTGATAAAAAATAATTAAAATGAATAAAAAATGTGCATAAAAATGTTTGAAAATAATTAAAATGAATGCACCAAAATGATCAACCTGAAATAAACTTCTCGAAAATATACAGGTTTTTGGTTGATTTTGAAATAAAAATTGACCGGTTAAAAGGCCTAGGCGGGTAAAAATGCGACCGAAAAAGTTATCAAAAAATTAAAATGAACACACAAGGTTAAACCACGTGAAACATAGATTAAGAATACTGAAGTCTGCAAGCTTGATTTTGAAACTTTTTACCCACTGATTTTAAGTGCATTTGACAATTGATTCAACCGATTTGTCTGTATGTCTGAAAATTCATTCTGACCGACATTTTAG